CCCGCTCTTCAGTCCAGCTTCAGCTGCAACATGGTCAGGTGAGTTGCTTTAAGCCGCTATCTTCTATTGCTTGTTGATTGACTGTTCTTATTTCACTTGTTAAGGGTTTAGATGTCAGCGCTGAGTTAAGCAATAGGCTTTCTAATATCCTTTCAAAAAGTCTCGTGCAATTTGTATACGAAGGAGCTGTAACTATTTTGAACTAAAACATGTAGGCCACGAGGGATATGATTAAGGTCAAGAGGGATAGCGAATTGCACTTTGGCTACTGTCAAGTTAATTGTTTATCATGTCTTCATGGTGTACACAGTTTAAGAGATCCCTTGTTTCTTCGTTGGAGGGGCTTATATTAATTGGAAAATTGCTAAGGGGCTTTTAACAAATTTTCTGTCAGAAATTCTCTAATGTGGACAGTTTAGGGATCATAAAGCAAATTTCTTGTATTTCTTGATCTTAATTGTTTTTACTTTTACGTGCTTTCCAGCATTATTGATGGAGAACCTAAACAGACGGGTCTCAAAGAAATACTTCAGGTGACTATTTGCCATTACTTTAAAATTATCCTGAAACTGAAAGTTGACCTTTTTGGTAATCATATATGATATTCTGTGAGATTCAAGTGGACTTGGTTCATATCTAAGCAAGAACGAAAAAACAAATAGTAACAGAAAAACGAAAAAAAAAATATTAGATGTAATATTAAATCTGTGCTACTATTTTCTTATTGGGAATATAAGTTGTTACCTTCTTTCTGTTTCTTGCTTGTGTTTAGGCATTTCTAGATTTCAGATGCTCTGTTGTGGAAAGACGTGCAAGGTTCAAGCTTTCACAAGCTCAACAGAGAAAGCATATTGTTGAGGTGTGTGTCTGAAAATTGTCCAAATTTTGTTAAATGCTAGAGCACATTTTAGTTATGCTCTCTATGATTTACTCACCTCCTTTTTGGTAGATCAAGGTCATGATTTAATCTTGCAAAACTCTACATACCCTAAAGTTTGCATGTTTCGACATTTTGTGCATATGCTTAGGGTATTGCGGTCGGACTAGATAATTTGGATAGGGTAATCCAGATTATTAGAGAGGCCTCAAGTCACTCCTCTGCTGCTGCTGGTTTGCGAAATGGTGAGCTGTGTTTTGCCTATGCACTTCAAGTGATGGTTACTGAAAGATAATGGTTACTGGGTTCTGGTTTTGAAGTCTTTATTTCAGATATTCATAGACTTATGATGACATTCTCTAAGCATCTAATGTGCTTTGACATGGACCAATATGTAGAATTTGGTCTTTCTGAGAAACAAGCTGAGGCAATAATGGAAATAAGCCTTAGAAGACTCACTCTTCTTGAGGTATGTTTATAGTCTTACAAGCCTTTTTCTGAAGCTCGCTTTCTAGTTTGTATTAAATTTTGCAAAATGATTAAGATAGATTCATATTTGTATCTACGCAGCGAAAAAAATTCACGGGCGAGAGTAATTCCCTGTCGGAGCAAATTGCAAATTTGGAGGAGCTGTTATCAAGCAGAACTAATATATTACAGGTGGTGTATTTATACAATCTTACATATATCTCTAGGTGAAGATATTGAAACTGCCGTTGGCGTGATGCCATGATATTCATTCTTCATTGATCATTCTCAGTTCTTGTACCCTTTTGTATTAATGACTGTTTGGTGTTCACTGATGTTTAAAGCTGCCGTCTATATTGGCATGATATTCGTTCTGCAACGTTATTACCAGCCATGTGGAAGACATTAATTTGTTGCTTTCATCCCCCAGAAGTTATAGATGTAAATTTGTCTCTGTAAAGCTTCTTTGTTTAAACTCTTTTCTATCTCAATGTTCCTTTGGCCGACATTATGCATGCATTGTATGATTTACCGGCTTAGTCTATTTTTGTTATGCTTCCTTTATCCCTTTCCCTA